TTGAAAAGCGAGAGGTTCATTCAAGGAGAAAGAGAGAGTTGAAGCTGGTTCGAACAAGAATGATTCGTTGTTCAAGAACTCTATTCTCCCATCTTCTGTCAAAAACCTAGGAAATATCTCAGCATTCACATTTCTTAGCTGGGGAAGTTGACTATCGCTCTTCCTTTCGCGAGTTTCCTCTTGTCATTTGTGCATCAACCTTCACCAGTTCCTAGTTCGAAATCCATCTGAAGCACCATTACCTAATTTCCACCATTCAACAAAGATTGAATCCCTCTAGCCTACTGCAGCATTGTTGTTTCATTCAAGGTCACAAGAGGTAAAAAGTGATTACCTCATACCCCCAAGCTCCTGTCAMGACATGATTCAATATTTAGAATAATCTTGATTTGGTTTCGGTTATCTATCTATTCATCTTTCGTCTTTTTTTTATTTAGTGTTTGTTTCTTCCTTTGTTTTTTTATTAGCCGCATTAGTCTTGCTTTTTGTCGTGCATTCAAGGTCGAACTCGAGAACCATCAGGTCCTTTAACAATTGAAAGGTTGTTGTAATTTCTTTTTCTTTTACTCTTTAGCCCGACCAGCTAAGTACGATGGTGGGGGTTCTGATAGAAAAGGGGTGAGAATTCATCCTTTTGCTCAAGCTCCTGTGTCCAAAATGGGTCAGATTGGAGGGGAGAAGAGGAAATTCCATATCCTTCCTAGTTGGTGGATAATTTGGACTCTCAGTTTGAATTTAAAATAAATAGGGAATTATAGTGTTCACACTGACCAGAGAGAGGGGTGCCTAACCCCTTCCCTCTCTCTCTCTCTCTCAACTTACCCAGATTAGCCTTGTCATGGCTGATTGATATGGAGTCGTTGTTAATTSTAAAAGTTTTGTGAAATTTAAATCCAGAGGTCCATTACTCCCATTTATGTATTTTGATGGGTGGCAACTCTGTCTGTTCAGTCATGAAGTGAACAACCGAGATTTTTTCTGACGTTCACACTAGGACCATCACTATGTCCTCGACCACGACCTGCCCCTAAATCTCGACCTCCACTATGCCCACCAATACAATTAAGCATAGGACCACCTAGGATCCCTTGGACTCCATATCCATGTCCACCTCTTCTATTCCCATGACCTTCCTCTCTTGCCGCTACAAAAGCAAACATATCAGAGATGGTACCACTCTCTAAAGGTCCAATAGAGATTCTATGTAGTTGAGAAAACACCTCCTCAAGAAAGGAAAGCGGAGAACCACCTAATATTTATACTTTAATTGGGTCATATTTGGATTTCAATCCCACTAAAAACCTAGTTACATCAACCTATTCCCATTGCCACTATTGAGTTTTAACATTTGACATCACGGGATGATGCAAATTAAGCTCATTTCGAAGGTTTCTTATACTAACATAATATTCCTCTTAGATCTGATTTTCTTGTTGCAGATTAAAGTACTCTTGATAGAGTTGATACACTATCATAGTGTTATCTTGCACAGAATAGAGTTTCTTAGCATGATCTCAAATCTTTATCCAAAAATATAAAGTTCACACTTGTTGGGCTCCATGCAATTCTGCAATTAAGTCATAATCTATGCATCCTCTTGTTCCTACTCATTGTGCCCCTGATATTCAATTGAAGGTTTTTCCTCTTTCACATGTTTTACTTTCTTCTTGGCTTTGAGAAAAAATTCCACTAACTTAGCCCATGGCACATAATTCTCATCATTTAATTTGATGGGCACATAATTCTCACCATTTAATTTGATAAATTACATCTATGCATTCAAGTAATTGGGGAAATCATAACACTCAATTTACTGTCACTAGTCTTTCCAATTGTTGCCATTGGTTTAGGAGAATAAGACCTTCAATCACCAATACCACATTACACTATTCAACACTCACCACACCACACCACAAGTAGTTAATTGTTGTTGAAACACACACTGCCACTGGTTTCAACAACAAAATTCATTGTTGTCATACACATTCAGACGCCAATAGGAAATGAAAGATCACCCCCTACATATACTTGCTTACTAGTACTGTTAAGGGATTGAAATCCACTCCTAATGGGGTTTAAACACCATGCCAACAACAAGGTACAAAAGCTGGTTCACAAATTAGCCCTCTTCGAGTCATCAAGTAGAGAGTTTCTAACATCTCACTGAAACGAACACTACAACAATTACTAGAGGCATGATTACCTCCTAAAAGGGAAAATGATCATTTGATTTTTGGACTGATAGGTGATGCAAAAAGAAAAAAAAAGAACCGTTTGATTTTTGGACTGATTACCAGCGGTACCATGTTAATAATGGTTTGGTTAACATTGGTTCAGTTCTAGGTTAGAAACAAGAGAGAGAATAGAGAAGAAAGAGAGGAAGAGAAGAGAGAAACCAAATGGAGAAAAAAATCACCTCCCAACTGATCACCTTCTTATTTATATGTTTTTAGTCTTGGTGTATAAAAACTATTATGTCCCTAATTAAGTATGGGACACAACTTAAACTAAGATAAAAGAGACTATGTAACTTCTAATAACATTGCACAAAGACTAAATTATCCTCTTTGCTACCGACTCTAACTCTCCAAATCTCATTGAATAGAAGAGATGTGGTGACTTCTTCCAAATTCACTATGTTTTTCTTATACGACAATGTTGTTACCAAGTTTCATATGAATCATGAAGTGAGTTAAGAAGTAAAAGGGCCTTGTCTTTTTCTTTCACCTTAATATAACTTCCCTTAGTCAATTTAAGATACTGTTGAACATGTTTAGGTATTTTAGGAGATTCCCATCCTCTCCAAACAAAGGTATCATTTGACAAGTTTTTTAGAAACATCTTTTAGTAGCCCAAATAGCCAAAAGACATATTATGTTTTGGGACCTTGTCTTTAACTACAAAGATTGTTTGGCAAGTGGCTCGTTCCATCAAGCTTTTAAAAATGCATTTGGATTTTGTTTATCACACAAAAGAGTAGAATTCGATATTTTTGGTCTTTTTGGGTCTTCCCGTTCACGCATCTTCTGGTCTTACTAGCTTTTGGTTACCAAATGGAAAAGATCGATTTTAGGTCTTTCGAGCTTGTTAAAAACTAGAAGACCACATGGAAAGACTTGCCAAATGCCGCCAAAGTTTCTTTAACTTCTCCCATGACTTCAATGTAGAATCTTAGTTCATAATGTTAAACATAACGTTATTAGTTAGGAGCAATCGAATTCTATTAACACACTTTGACTCAATGTCCTCCCAATTAGTATCCTTCATGTCTTTCGACTTTTCACCTTTTCCCTTCAACATTCTAACAAATCCTTGTTAAACCAAGAATTTTTTTTTTTTTTACCTTCCTTGGCCATAGGGTAAAGTTACATTTTTCGTCAAACCTCTCAAACTATAACTAATACTTATACTTTTTGTTGCCATTATTTTATTAACAAATTCATAATCATAAACACCTTATAAACACCAACTTGGCTCTGATGCCACTTGTTTGGGCTCACAATAACTACTCACAAGATAAAACCACAAGTATTTGAAACAAAATAGCAACCAAGACAATCTAATAGCAATAAAGATAAATAAATTTAAGCAAAGATGGATTGAAATACACACCACCAAGAGCACAAAGGATTTAATGTACATGATTTGGCCTTATTGCCTACATCAATGAGAGAGATGAAAACTGTTCTTTGGCTCTTTGCTCTGAAGAAATGAGAAATAGTATAGGTACTCTGTGGCTTGCAACCCAAATCAACCCTTAAACTCTTTTACACCCATTCTCATTTTCTTTTCTTAACCCTAATAATAGAATAAGAGAATAAAACATACTCTTACACTAAGAGCATCCTTTTTTCTCTCACCATTTATTTATTTTTTCATCTAAAGCAAAAAAAAAAAAGAAAAAAAAGAAAAAGAAAAAGAGCAAATTTCTCTCTTATCACTTCTAAACCCTATATACAAAAGAATTCTCTTATATGTAAAACCCACCTTAACCTAAATGAGGGACCGCACCAACCATTAGATTAAAACCTAATGCAATAATTGAAAAATAAGACATAACCCCAACAAAAGAAAAAAATGAGATGTGGTCAATTTTGATGATAATGGCTATTCAATTGAATAATTCATTGCCTTGTCTTTTAGTAGATAGAATGGTCATATGTAAAACATTCAGGGGTATATATGATAATTGGACTACTATATCATTGATCATATACAAGTTCCTAATTTCTTGTATAGTATTGTTTTTATTTTTCAAATAAAAGCCAAGCTTAATTGATACTCAATTATTAAAATAGTATGGTATAAAGACCAATGTTAAGATGGATGCTTGAGAAAATTAGAAAAAATAAGATCGAAAATAAACTTATTCTAATGGACGTAGGAATGGTTCAAATAAATGATAAATAGTGAGGTGACCTAGAAACATGCACAAACCATCTATAACACAAATAAAAATAAATGATCTCATATTGAAAAAATTAGGGGCAAACGGAAAAGGACATGGGTTGAAATAATGAATTAAGGGCCAATAATTTAACTGCATATGTAACAAAACGGAGGAATATGACTACTTAAAAAAAATGGAGTATAATTCATGTAGCCATATAACATAATTGGAGCGAGACTTAAATGATGATGATGACAATGACAATGAAAAATTGAATTAAGATATCATAATCAAACCAAGATACCATTTCAACCATGGACAAGCTTACAACATGTTAATGACTTATTCAATAAAAAAAGGTAATAATAAGCCATTCACTTCAGCCACTTCTTATAGGGAAGCTTAAACAATGGCCAATTAGAACCATTTGATTGCCCTAGCTTAATATATGGCCAGCTTGATGACCAAGCCCAATCCAGTCTAATAGGCTAATAGCTCTAGCCATAGTCCACTGACTATGCACTTAACCCCCTGGCCAAAGTTCAATGGACAGATGGCAACATGCATTTAATCATATCAATATCCTAGAATTATTTAGGAACCAGCCAGCCAGAGAGAGAGAGAGAGAGTAGAAGGGCAAAAATACAGAAAAGGGAGAGAGAAAGCAGCATATATAGGTCCTTTCTATTGCTCCCGAAGAGCATGGAGAGAAGGCTGGCAGAGAGGTTTTGCGTCTCTTTGCTCTCTATAAAACCCTAATATCGATCTTCTCATTTCTTTTTCTTCTTCTTCTTCGTTGCTAATTCCTGCTTTCATTTCCCACTTCGTCAATCAGCCGATCAATCTAGTGTTAATCTACAATTCCGTTTCGATCATTATAACGATCTATTCAGTTCCCTGGAAAAAGGTTCAATTTTTATTCATAAACCTTCTGTGTAAATTTGGAGTTAACCATTTAATTTCCTTGTTCAAACGATTCGTGGAAGAAGGAGTATCTTTGCTCTTCTCTTTTAGGGTTTTAGGATCTTTCGTTGTGCTGTCTGCATTTGAGGATTTTGGTTCCTGGGGCCGAGTTGGGTTATCAAGGCTGGCGGGCTTCAAGGTCCAGTAATGGCGGATCCGCCTGGGTTCCGCCCCAACTGTGGTTTCGAAGCGAAGGAGGTTTTAGCTTTAGTATTTGGGTCTGAATATCGCCTCGGAGTGGAATTCTGGCAGTGGAAAGCATGCTGAGCGTGCTTCGAGTTCATCTCCCGTCCGACATTCCGATCGTGGGCTGCGAGCTTACGCCGTACGTGCTCTTGCGGCGACCGGATGGATCCATTGGCACCGATGATGTCCCTGAGTCTGCTCCTCTTGATGGGTTCTACTTGAGATACAAGTGGTCAGTAATCCTATTTCACTTCTGCTATGCTTCAGTTTGGTTGCCTTACTTGTCGCGCTTGCCTGGCTGTTTACAAGAACTTGGAAGTCATTCCACTTGGTGTATTAGTAACAAAATTTTGAACTTTTTAGTGTCTTGGACCTGATACCTGGTTTAGATTTCAAATAATACATAGACTGGTCAGGTATGATTACATGTGCTCTTACTTTCTTATTTCGTGGGTTGTTGCAGATATAGATATGGTCATATAAATGCAGAATGATTGTTTGCAGGGGCGAACAATTTCCCTTGTTGGTTTTTTCTTTCTTAGTCAGGAAAACATATAAAGTGTCTATATTTTTGGATGCGTTGTCCACATTAGGAATGCTGCTTCTTTCTGAGCATTGAAGCACATAGCTTTCCAATGTTGGGGAATTGATAAGAGGGATTGTCAAATGCAACGTTGTCAAATTGGCAATCCAGGGTTAGTCCAAGTGTGCCAATAGCAGTCCTAAAAGAGCTGAGACCTTTTAAGGATTCTGTTCTTCCTTTTGATTCTTGCAGTTTCAGAAAAGGGGTTTCTTTATTCACAAGAATGTAACTAACATTGGATGGAGTTTTTTGTTGAACAATCTGGATATTCTGCAAATACTTAAGAGGTGCATAAGAATCGTGACAGAAAGGGGAGAGAGAAAGGTTGATACCTTAAAGCAACATTCAGGATGTATCTAAGAAAGCACTGCCTGGCTGCTGACCTCAAAAGAGGGAATGAAACAATACCAGACCAACTGGTTCCTGTTCAATTAAATGTGCTCTTGAATCATCTGTCTGTCTTTGTGCCAATGTCAACACGTGTTTCTATGTGCTTCAAAACTCTTGGTAGTAAGCTTTGCAATGTATTTGCGTATCTTGGTTAGTTCATAGTTGGAATTTCTCAAGATTTTGTATTAGATGTTCATGAGTTTTTGGTTGGAAAAGTCATCATCATCATCATCATCCAAACCTTATCCCAACTATATGAGGTCGACAATTATATGAGAGTTTGATAAGTGTTAGTGCCGGCTGCCAACCTGACTCAACTGTCCTCCTTTATCTGGGATTGGGACCAGCAGTGTAAGACATGCTCACATTGGTGTAGTTACACAAGGCAACTTCAAATGGAAATCATGCACAAGGCCATCCACTTAATAACTAATTTGACATACTGTATAGATATTGTACTTGCATTTTCCCTTTCTTGATTAGGTTGAACGATGGAGTTTGTCCTTCACTTTTCAGAAACTTAGCATCTTTTACATTTTTATATTTTAATTTGCAGGTATCGTATACAAAGTGATAGAAGAGTTGCTGTTTGCAGCATACATCCCTCTGAACAAGCAACACTGCAATGTATGGGTTGTGTTAAAGCAAAAATACCTGTTGCCAAAAGTTACCACTGCTCCCCTAGGTGCTTTTCAGATGCATGGCAACATCATCGTGTTCTACATGATCGTGCGGCTAGTGCTGTAAATGAAAATGGTGCAGAGGAGGAAGAGTTATTTGGACGTTTTAATAATGCAGGGTCTGGAGTTGCCAATACTACTTTATCTGGTTCAACCTCAAGCATAGGACAGAGTGCAAACTTGAATAACGGCTCTGCCCCTGTATATCCTGCAGTCATTACGGAAAAGAATGGTGGTGAAACATGGTTTGAAGTTGGGCGTTCTAAAACATATACTCCAACAGCAGATGATATTGGTCATGTTCTTAAGTTCGAATGTGTAGCAGTAGATGCAGAATCTAAATTACCTGTGGGACATGTTAGTACCATTACTACATCCCGCGTCATTCCAGCTCCATCTCCTACCCCCCGACGCTTGGTACCAGTCAGTGGAGTTGATGTAATGGGACATTTGGATTCAGATGGCCGTATTTCATCCGCAGGAACATTTACTGTGCTATCGTATAACATTCTTTCTGATGCATATGCCACAAGTGAGTCATACAGTTATTGCCCTACATGGGCTCTTTCTTGGCAATATCGCAGACAGAATTTGTTGCGAGAGATTGTGGGCTATCGTGCAGACATCCTTTGTCTTCAAGAGGTATTTTTGGGCACACTTGACTAGTCTATATGGGAAATTGTTTGGTCTTAAGACATAGGAACGATATTTATTCTATTTATAGATTGGTAGTTCCCATTAGACCTGCATCTTATTTATTGAGAACCTTAGACTTCTGATGTAGTTAGTTCTAGATAGCCTATATGAATTCTTGTAATATGTTATACTGCCTATATTTTTTGGGAATGGGCTTGGGGATCTGTGCCCTCTTGAACAAAGGGTACTTGTTTAAATTCAAATTTGGATGAATTGGCCCTAAGCCTCACTGATAGAAAATGTCATAGAATTTGTAGGAAATATCGTTTGTTCCATTGTTAAAGATATCTAACACTGTCCCTCCAGAAAGAAAAAAAGTATATTGTTGACCTCTATTTTTAACTATTGTGCAAACTAAGAGTGGTAATGCCTTTTTCTATTCAGGTTCAGAGTGACCACTATGAGGAATTTTTTGCCCCTGAGCTGGACAAACATGGCTACCAAGCCCTCTACAAGAAAAAGACAGCAGAGGTTGGTTTATGGTATGGTAATTTCCAAGGTTTTAGTATCTAGATGTCTTCATGTTCTATACTCATGCTTTTGTTTTGGTTTGCAGGTTTACAATGGATCTCCCTATTCAATTGATGGTTGTGCAACATTTTTCCGCAGGGATAGGTTTTCACATGTCAAAAAATACGAGGTTCATAAGCTTCTTTTTTTCTTTTTTTTTTGTAATTTTTAGTGTAAACTTCTTTTTCGACCATTATCTACCAATTTATCTTTGATTGCTTCATATTTTAATGGGTTTGTCTTGTGTGCAGGTTGAATTTAATAAGGCTGCACAATCTTTGACTGATGCAGTAGTTCCAAGTGCTCAGAAGAAAACTGCTCTGAATCGATTGCTTAAGGTAGCTTTGACTGTATTGAATTGCATTTTTCTGGATTTGTTCTCTGATTGTTGGTTGTTCAACCAATGCTATCATTTGATTTCTCTGTATAGGATAATGTTGCGCTAATAGTTGTTCTGGAGGCAAAGTTCATTGCTGATAAACGACAGCTTTTTTGTGTGGTAAGTGCAAGTTTCACCTTTGTTTATCATATTCTTCATCACTTTTCCTATTCTTGGCTATTAATCCATGACCGTGTTGATTAAGTTCATTCCCATTTGAGTTTGTTGCATTTTCTTGTTGTGTATTGTATAGACAACATTCTGTTTATGGGTGGTAATATTGTTTTTCCCTTTTCTCCTTTTGTGTAGCGTAAGCTTTGTTGGGCATGCTTTTTTTATTTTATGACTCCAAGTGTACTTGATCCTGCCCCTTATTAACTATGATTGGAGATATAGTTTAAATTTAAAAGCACAAAAGCATTTGGAAATGGACTAAAAGACATCATAAAAGCATGTAAGCTTTTAAATTTTATGCTTCAAACTCTTCCATGCTTCCCACCTATGATTTAAAGGCCTAGCTTTGATGTGTCTGCTTTAACAAAGCCAGGTGATGTTGAGGATTTTAAATTCTGTTGAAATATTTTTTGATTCTGTTAACAATGAGACTCATTTTCATTTAAGCAACTGTAAGGTTCAAAAAAGCAACTGTAAGGTTTTAACAGTTTGGACTTCTGAATACCAGTTTATCCAAGTACTGTTCATCCCTGAATTTTCAGTTTTTTTGGCCATGTTTGGAGTAAGATCCAAAGTTTCATATAGGTTACCTAATTTTTACACCTTGGGATCATCTAGTTCTTGCTTAGTAGCTATTTGAGATAGCAGTGTAGATGCATTAAATCATTCACCTTTTTCACCAGTTGGTCCTTCATGCCTGCCTAACAACTAATCTTTAATTCAAAGATCCTTAACATGCTAATGTTAAGCTCTTTGAAGGCTCTTCATTTGCTAGATATCTACTGTTGCACAAGTCTGATACATTGTATGTAGAGTGCAAAACTGACCATCGACTTCACAAGCTTTCACAGCCTACCATCATGGAGATGCATAACCAATATTTCCCTAGGATCACATTGCACGGTTTTGATGATAATCTGATCTAGTTATTGATAAAAAAAAGATAGTCTGGTCTAGTTTAAAGTTGGTTGCTATGTGTCAATATATTAGTATTGCTCAATTGTTTTTCTGGATAATTAACAAAATTTCATTAAATGAAATGAGAAAACCTTGCTGCTGAGTGCAGACAATTGCATTCTAAAGATTCTTTGTATTGCCCCTGCCTTATTCAATTTATCTGTCAACTCATTTGCACTTCTAGGAATCTAATTGATTGAGCAGTTCAATAGAAATTCCCATGAAATAGAAATTCTGAAATAGTCTGCTCTACCTGAGGCTGAGCAGAGCCAAACAATAATCATTTGAGAGTCCATTTCCACCTTAACATTGATGAACATGCATGTAATGGCTAATCCCAAGCCTTGTGGAATTGACAATAGTTCTGCCCTTAGGAATTGGCTAATCTGATCCTTGCCACAGTATGCTCAATTTTGCCCYTCATATAGTTATTCTTGTCCTTCCCAAGCCTTGTGGAATTGACAATAGTTCTGCCCTTAGGAATTGGCTAATCTGATCCTTGCCACAGTATGCTCAATTTTGCCCCTCATATAGTTATTCTTGTCCTTCCCATTGTCCATAAAGAAACATGATGACCCTGGTTATTGAACAGCTGCTCAACATGTGTGGTAGGTTTCTGATCAGGAAAAAAATATTGGTGGTAAGCATACCAGGTCATATTCTGTGTCCTACATGTAGATATGACAAATGCCACCATAGCAATTGGCTGGGTGATATACTTCTGCCACACGGCAAGAATCAACTCAGATACAAGCTTTGATTTGCTGATTTTTTTTTGTTCCACTTTCTACAAAGAGACTGCTAAATGGTATTTTAGTGCTGCTCAACTTGTGTAGTAAGAGTTTGATTTCTATTCACAATGAGGGAGGTGGTCGTGAATCCAGAAAGAGTTGCGAATAGAAGGTCGAAGAGTGGGCCGTTGCTGAATGGCACCCATGGAAGCCCTTTCAGGTCAGAAAGTTAAATCCAGGCTTCTTCTTATTCACTCTCAAGAGTGAAGTAGAGGTGAACAACGTCTTGAGGAGAGAACAAAATAAGTTTCAATCTCCAGACCTTGGAATTGGGAGTTGGAATCCTCTACTTGGTGCAACAAGGGAGATGGGTCCTTTAAGCATTGTGTGGATTAATGTGTATGGATTTCCTTTACATGCATGGAGTTTTCAAGCATTTAAAGCTGTGGGGGATGCTTGTGGAAGATTCAAATTCGTAGATCCTAGAATACACTCTTGGAGAACTTTGGTTGTTGTTCGCATTTTAGTTGAAGTTGAAGAGATTCATCTTGTTTCTACTTCCATTTCTCTCCGCTTTGAAGGTGAAATCTTCAATTTAAGGCTTGTTGTTGAAGGTTCATACCTAATGAGATGGGTTGAAAATATGGAGTTGTGGAGAGAGGAGGCAAAGATGGTCTTTTAGCGCTTTGGTGATTATGGAGGGAAGGTGGACAATTAGGTCAAAGAGGAAGGGCATGAGGTTGAAGATGAGGGTGTTTTCAAAATAGAAGAAATTAGTGGATCCTTTTTGGGTTAGGTTACTTGGTTCAGTGGGCTACATTGAACATGATGACCATGGAGTTCTAAAAGCATTAAAGAGGTGGGGCCCATTTGAAGTTAAGTGAGGAAGCTAAAAAGACGGGATTCCTTTTATTTGAGAATAATGGCGCTAGTGGAGAGGTTGAAACATTGAGACATGTGCAAACAAAAAAAGGAGGAGAAGGTTGTTGAGACACAACTAAAGGGAATACAAGTATACAAAAAAAGGCCACGCCAGCCTTTAAAGAATGTAACTAACAACCAACCACTAGAACAAACTAAATAACAAACTAGACAAGTGGAGAGGCTGGTATAAYAGAATTGTAACAACAGTATATAAATAAGGAAAGGAAGTTAGGAGGGGATTATCGATTTGGGAATACAATCTCTCTTTCTTTCATTCAGGAGGCATGCTCCCTCGAAAGAGTCCCTGAGTTAGGAAGTCCCTAACAAGTTGGTATCAGAGCCAAGATGCCAAGCACAAGGTCATCCACAATGGAGAACAGAGTCGACAACATGGAAGGAGAAATGCAAAGAATATCAGTTGATGTCAAAGAAATCAAAGAAATCAAAGAAAGCTTTGCATCCTTGCTTGAACGACTGGCATAGGCACCACTTGCACTGAATCGGGAAGAGTGCAGTGACACCAACCATCGAAGCGGATCAAGAACAACAAGAATCGAGTTTCCCATCTTCGTAGGGGGAGATCCCACACCTTGGCTTCTGCGAACAGAAAGATACTTCGATTACCACAACACACAAGGACCTGATTGTGTTCCATTATCTTCTGCACACCTGGAAGGAGAGGCGATCGTCTGGTACCAATGGTACCGGCGACGACACCCAAGAGCCACATGGGCAGACTTCACCGACGCCTTAACCATGCGATTTGGAGTCTCGGATTTTGAGAACTATGTTGAAAGCCTCGCTAAGCTACGACAGACCGGCTCCGTCCAAGATTATCAGATGGCGTTCGAAAGATTAGCTGTGCGCGTGCAAGGCTGGCCAGAAAACGCGCTTGTCGACAGTTTTGTTGGTGGACTCAGGGAAGAATTACGGCTGAAGGTAAAAGCCATGCAACCCACCACCGTTCTTGAAGTAGCAGCATTAGCTCGACTACATGAAGACAAACTGAATCGGGCAAGAAGGATTAATCAACCTCTGGGAGCTGCGATCAGACTAGGTATACCGAACCCAGAACCAGGTATCTTGGGTAAATCGGAGCCCAGTTCAGGAGTAGGAATCACAGGCAAGGACGCCAACTCTGGTTCAGGCCCCGGCTCAGCCAAGAGGTTAACCTGGGCTGAGATGCAAGCCCGACGGGAAAAGGGCCTTTGTTATGCATGTGGAGACAAATTCGGGCCGAGCCATCGTTGTAAGATCCCTCAAGTTTTCTCCTTCAACCTGAAACCGAATATGTCGAGCAATCAACAGACATTGAAGAGCCAATGGACAACCAAGAATGGGGGCAATGGACAAAGGAATACCGGAAGTATCCCTACAAGCCTTGACCGGTCTTGCTTCTTCTCAAACTATGAGAGTAATTGGACTGGTACAAGGGCGCCATGTGTCAGTTTTGATAAACAGTGGCAGCACCCTCAATTTCATTACCCAAACATTGGTCAGACAACTAGGGATTCCGATCCAACCATGTACAGCCTTTCAGGTGCATGTAGCTAATGGGAGCAACCTTGTGTGCGACAGTACGTGCACAGAATTAAAGATGAAGATACAAGGACATGAGTTCGAGGTAGATCTGCACCCCCTAGAAATCAGTGGAGCAGATGTAGTTCTCGAAGTCCAATGGTTAAGGCAACTAGGGCCGGTGTTATGTGATTGGGCTCGTCTCACCATGGATTTTCAAGTGGGCAGCTCACAGGTGCATATTCAAGGGTAGCTGTCCAAGGGTCCAGGACCTATTAGTCTCGCCTCCCTAAGGAAACAGGTAGCAGACCCAGCCCACATCGTTTTAATGCAGATAGACTCCCATGGGAATGACCCCATTCTAGCCCAAGGAAGCAGATCCGAAGAAGGCCACACACAACTACAACAACTACAGAAGTTCTCAGTGATCTTCCAAGAACCTAAGGAACTACCACCAAAGCGTGCCCATGTTCATTGCATTCCATTGCTGCCCGGAATTGCACCCACAAATGTAAGGCCCTATCATTACCCCTATTTTCAGAAACTAGAGATTGAGAGGCAAGTGCAAGATATGCTTGACAGAAAAATTATACAACCTAGCCAAAGCTCATTCTCCTCGCCAGTATTACTTGTGAAAAAGAAGGATGGGACATGGCGGTTTTATATAGACTATAGGGCTCTGAACAACATTACTGTGAAGGATCGATTTCCCATACCAGTAATCGATGAACTACTAGGTGAACTTGGCAGGGCCACCATATTCTCTAAAGTAGACATGAGATCGGGATATCATCAAATTCGGGTCCATGAGGGAGACATCCACAAGACTGCCTTTCGTACACACGAAGGGCATTATGAATTTCTGGTTATGCCRTTTGGGTTGACCAATGCGCCAGCTACGTTCCAAGCCCTTATGAATGACATATTTCGACCCCATTTGCGCAAATTTATACTCGTTTTTTTTATGATATACTTGTATATAGCGCTACATGGGACAAACACCTAGTACATSTACAARTCACCTTGGAACTGCTAAGGACTCATAAACTCCTTGCAAAGGAGTCAAAATGCGCATTTGGACAGACACAAGTACACTATTTAGGGTACGTGGTCGAAAACGACATTGTAGCAGTAGACCTGGAAAAGATCTCAAGCATGATAAATTGGCCCCGACCTCAAAATGTTAAGGAGTTACGAGGCTTCTTGGGTTTATCAGGGTACTATCGGCAATTCATTAGAGGGTATGGACTGATTGCTGCCCTCTTGACAAGTTTACTTAAGAAGAATGGGTTCTGCTGGACTAGGGAGGGCCAACAGGCCTTCGAGACACTCAAAACAACTATCTCATCCCCACCGATGCTCGCACTTCCAAACTTCTCAAAGGACTTCATCATTGAATGTGATGCGTCAAGCCAAGGAGTTGGTGCAGTCTTCATGCAAGAAGAAAGGCCACTAGCGTTTTTCAGCAAAGCAATGATAGCACAGAAATGGGCCAAATCATTATACGAACGCGAACTGATAGCAATTGTTCTCGCAGTTCAGAGGTGAGTTCTCCTAACAGCTAGCTTTTAGGGGTATATATGTGCTTGGGTTCCCTCCTCTAACAGCTAGCTTTTAGGGGTGAGTTCTCCTAAGGCACGTAACAAAGGTGGGAGTTGATAAGGGAGGGGAGTTATCTGAAAAATCAGAAGACGAAGAGGCAGTTCAGATTGGGAGGAGTGTCAGAGGTTTGAGTGGGGCTCATGCTTTGAAAGTCAAGCTCTCTGAAGCTTGTAAATTCAACCAATTGGCAAAGCTGAAGATTGACAAAAGATTTTGTCATGAGTTAAAAACGTTTTTAGGTTAAAAAAGTGGGGTTTTGAATGGAAGATGTTTGAGGGAGTGAAGGGGAAAGGAAGAAATTCAGGAGTGGGAGATCCATAAGGTTGATAAAAAATGGAGAGAAGATCATTTCAAAATTCAGGATGGAGTTTCGCAATCTTGGGAATTTCCAAAGGGGTACAGTTATTGGTCACGACCCAGGCCATTGTGATTGTGAGGTTGAAGAGCCTGTGTTGGCCCTTGAAGCGGTGGTTCATGAGGAGGCTGATGCTGGTTAGCATCATGTGTACAACTCTGCTTTTGGTGTTCCCTTGGAAAATATTCTAGGGGAGATTCTTAATGAAGTGAGGGAAAGCCTGAGTGAAGGGATAAAGGATGCCGTGCTAGGGATTGGGGATGCTGAAATTGGTGTAGGAGTGGAAGGGGGAAATTTGGTTAATGCCATGGTTTGCAGTGATTCTTCTTAGGTTGAGTGCTCAAGTGGCAATTACCTGGCCTGTGAAGAGGTGTTGGAAGGATTGGAGTGGAGTTGGGGCGAAGGAGGGTCGAAGAGAAAACTCTAGTCGCATTCAGTGTGGTGGTTTGTAAGAAATATCAGGCTCAAGAAACCATCAAACGGTTCATGTTACTAAAGTTTTCTTTAGGTTGAAGCTTGGTTTGGTGGGGGTGGGGCCTAAAGAAATTTAAAAAGGTTTACAAGGTTTGAAGGCGGTGATGCTGAGTATGGTTGTTGGCGGGAATGGTTCTTGATCTCACATCAGACTGGAATCCTAGTAGTAGATTCTTCACCAAGATGAAAAGGAAAATATTGGTAGTCTGGACTTTGTTGAAGGTGCGTTAGATATAGGACCTGGTAAAAACGCAGAGAGGTGAGGAAGCTTTCCTATTAAGAAAATTGCTGAAAGAGATATTGAACTAGGCAAGAGCAAGAGGCTTGGCCTATTTTTCTGGGGAGGTGAGGGGTTTGCTTAGTGGTACATTTGAAGATTTTGAGAGGAGAGAAGAGATGATGAAGAGAACTTGAGGAATGAAATGAAATTTGGAAGGAGGATAATGAAAGGCATGAGGAAATATTTGAGAGGGAGGATTAGGGAGTTTGATTTTGAATGGTGTTGCCTTTTTGTGGTAAAGTTGGAGGTTCTTGGGGGTCTTTGGGTTCGAAGGTTTGGGTCATTGTCATTGGGTGAGTTTGGTGGTGGCTCAGGCCTTTGTCTCCTTGTCTAAGTTCTGTTGTAGGGTGTTAATGGTTGTTTGTGTGTCTGTAGTGTCTGTCCTTTTCTCTTGAGTGATAACTTGTCACCTTCCTTTGTATTCTTTCTGTTTTTTTTTTAATTAAATTTTCTTTTTTTTTTATCAAAAGAATACCAGTCATTCAAGCTCAGGAAAGTCACTGTTCTGTCAATAAGTTACTGTGCTTGTGGTGAGTGTATTGGGCTTGCTTGGACTCATCAATCTTAAACTCTTCAAGCAGGATGACAAAACCAAACCAGCATATCTTAAAGCTTACACCCACAAGCGCAAGCCTATGGGCCTTTGCTCATCTAATCTTGTTTCGTCTTCATTTTCTCTTGTATCTTTTTCATCTTGTTCTATTCATCTCTATGCAAAACACTGTTGTGGCAACAGTTTGTAATGATGCTGCATCACAGGCATATGGAGATTCAATTTCCTCCAGACGCAACAAATTCTAATGATTAAATGTAGTCAGGGGTGTAACTTGTCAGCTTGGTTAGGAATTTTGTCAAAATTTGAATGGACCTGGCCTGGAAACCCAGTCCTGATGCAGTGAAAAATCTTCAAATTGGGTACCCAACTTTCACCTCTAAATGCAGTCAATTTCTTGAGCATCTCTTGAGCCATTTGTACATGTCCTTTGAGTTTTGTGCTTTTATACCATGTCAATCCAGATGGAGAGAGACCCCTTAGATGCACTTATGGATCCATCATGGGCACTGAAAAGAAAACATCATCTTCAGGTGCTAATTATGTCCACCTAACTTTTTATTATTTGGGCTGCTAAAGATGATATTATGTTACATGTGTTCATGAAAACTCCCAAGTCCCAAGGCCCTCAACAAATAGAACATAAGTGTGGTCTATGGATACAGACTACTGCCATGGATATGTGACTGGCACAGGTGATTCTCTACCATGCTGAGTCCATTATATCAGAGGGGGAACCAACCAAGTTGATTACCTATCCATGAAAGAACCACATACATGTCAAAACCAAAGAAAGGAAACATACAGAAAACTTTTAATCTGATCAACCAAATGATATTTCAGATGATATAAAAAGGCCATTACCCAATGTTGGTCCCAGCTATCTTGGATAATAGTTTTGAGATTCATTTTGTAATTTGGGATCTGAGGGTTTAAAGTTTATTTGGGAGGCTTGTAAGGGATTTTATTGTTTCTGGTGGAATTTTCTTTACAATTAGAATGAGATGCTTTGGGAATTTGGGTTTGGGCCTTTTGGGGCAATGTTTTCCTTGTTGTTACTTGGGATTTTTTATGGGCTATGGCAGAGGCTTTGTTGTATTAAGGGTTGGGAAGGAAAACGTTTTGTTCTTTTAAGGGGTGCAGGGTTTTGGTGCTTAGAGTTTAGAAATTAACTATTCTCCATTTAAAACCACCAAATATAAGTTCCAAAATAACTGGATAGAGCTCCTTCATACAAAATTCTTTTAGCCATAGGTGAAGAAATCAACTAAAAACTAATCCACTGCACCGTTAATTGACATCTTCATGTACTGTGGCACTCAAATGTTGCTTGGATACATCAACACCCAGACCTTCAAACCCATAAATCTAGGGGGCAAGTTGGACTTGAACTTCGATTGGACAATTCCGCTGTTACCATGCGGCCTGGTAACCTTTCCCCAAATGCAACGGTAGTGAGTCCTGTTCTTGACGTTGCCCTTGTAAATGTAGGCCAATTGCTTGTGGCAGTACCATGTGACCTCCTTGGTGTTCACACCCTCAATCTGAATCAGTGACATGTTTGGGTACTGATTGGATTTCGACCTCTTGTATCCAAGGACAGTTCCTCTCACATAGAGTCTGACTCGCTTCCCTTGGTGTCCCTTCACCATTTTTGTTGAGAGTTCTTCACACAAGTGGCGGAATGAAGAATCTGCGAAGGGAAAGCAATTTTTTTTGCTTTCTATTTTTTACCAAAAAATGGTCCTAGCTATCTGGGGTCTTGGGAGGTGGTGGATTGGATGTGGATAGGGTTGCAACTTGGGCAGGCTTGGGTTGAGTTTTTGTCAAAATTTGAATGGTCCCAGCCCAAAGGCCTAAGCCAGAAGCAGTGTAAAATGCTAACTTGGGTCAATCCAAGTTCCACCCCTAGATGTGGACCTAATTTTTGGCACAAAGTGGCTGCTCTAAGAATCAACCCCATGTTCTCATGGTTTTCAATGAGATTTTACCTTTGTACTTGCAGAATATATATGCCAGAAAAGATAATCAAAATGGAATTTATCAAAAAAAAAGATAATTGAAATGGAAAAAAGGCAAAGAAAAAGAGATGTTTCTGTTATCTCCAGACATGGACCCTTCTTCATTCATTAAGCTCCTTTTTACTTCCTCTTTATTGCTAACCCCCTGCCACACACACACACAAACTTACACAACAGAAATCCATATATCCCATCTCATAACTTTTAAAGGGATAGGGACAAATGATATCTTTACCTTCAAATTTAGAAATTACACTACTTTCCCTTTGTGCCAGATCTTCTTTGGCTGAACTTTACTCCACAAAACTTATGCCACATCATTCTACTATCAAGTTGCTTTTATGCTTGTTCTATATATTTTGGATAGCCAAGTAGTTTATTGGTTAGTGCTTAGTAATAGCAAACCCCCAGTCTTTACTAACAGAGCCAATGAGTTTGAAAAAACTGGCATGCATTTATTATAAAAAAGAAAATCTAAGTTGGACCACTTCATGAGCTGTTATATTGCATGGGTTGTTTATTAAATGAACCTCTTTTATTGCTGCATATAAAACTGGGTCTTATGATGTATACAGGCAAATACACATGTAAATGTTCACCCAGATCTCAAGGATGTCAAGCTCTGGCAGGTTCTTATTTAATCTTCAATTGTATTTTATTTTATTGTGCTTCTATGAAGTTGGCAAACACYCATATTAAAATATGGATGTTCTTGCCTATCAGGTACATACTCTTTTGAAAGGATTGGAGAAAATAGCTGTGAGTGCTGACATTCCAATGATAGTCTGTGGAGATTTTAATTCAATTCCTGGAAGGTAGGGACGAGGGGCACTAGTCTTGTTTTAATTCAGTTCATGTTAACACATTTCACCTTATCACAATCACTATGTCCTGTTGATCAAGAAGAAAATCTTGGATCTGATTACAGTGCTCCTCATGCACTTCTCGCAATGGGGAAGGTTGATCCCATGCATCCGGATTTAGCAGTAGACCCCCTCGGAATCCTGCGTCCTGCAAGCAAGTTAACTCATCAACTCCCACTGGTAAACATTTTTTCCTTTTTCCTTTTGGATATTGAATGGCTTTGAGAACTTGGTTATATCCTTCTTATTCCCCTATTTGAAGAAAAATTTGGTATTACATTCTTGTTACTGGTAATTAGTGTGTTTTTAAAGTCATGCATGGTTTTTGTTTTGGCTATTTAAAGCATCAAGTTAAATGCATTGAAGCTCAACGTTATGGTCATGCCTCACACATTGTTGGTTGCTTATTCATCTAGGCTCTCATAAGAACTGAGAGTTAAAGATCAGCTTTTTTCATCCTTTCTTAAAGATATCTTTATGCTAACACATCATTTATTATACTGAACATGCTTAGGGGTTTTTTATTTGCTTCACAGGTTATATTTTACAGTAAGAATTTTTCTGATAGTAGCTAAATCTTTTGTAGTCACCACTAGTTAATTTTGTTTCTTTTCTAGGTATGGAAAATTAACACTGTTTGTGACCAGCTTTGATCTGAATCCACTTTCTACCATGACATTTTCAATACTTTTTCAGTAACTGTTAGTTTTATTGACCGAAGAAAGTGAAATTTATACATTAGAGTTTCTTAAATCCACTGAGATGGCTAGCCTGAGCTAAATTTCTTATATAAGACTATAAAGCTTGTTACCCTTGAGCTACTATATGCCAATAACTTCTCTCTGGTTTGCCCCTTGTTTGGGTAGTCCACCAGCCAGAGTTTGCTAATCTAGGAGTCCATCTATATGCTATTCTCAACTCTACTGCTAGGCTTGTCATTTGTCTCATGTGAGCCCCCTTTGGTTGCGTTTGAGTGTTCTTCTATCATGATGTCCTTGAGGCTCATAGATTTAGCCAGTGGGCAACCATGTAGTATGGTGTACAGCCATAACTTCAGCCTTTCTGGAGTCACCCATCCCATTTGGACTTGAATATAATGCCATTCTCTTCTCTATTTCTGAATATCCCCCCATTCCAATTTGTCCTAGATTCCTTACATTGCTGTCATGAAAATTCAGTTTGATCATATTTGGATGTGAAGGGGACCAATGAAGTGATTACAGTATTCTTATATGTAAGTAGGCGCCACATGTTGCCAATTTCTTACAATTATTAGCAGTTGTGCAATGCTGAAAGGCATCTAGCATCTTGATCCAATTTTTTAATGATGGCTCTGAGTCCTTGAGACTTGCCTTAATTGTTGGAATAGTTGTACGTTTCTTAAATCCCATCAGCACCATAGGATGGCCACCCCTAGTACACCTCCACCTGCAACCAAACAAAGAGAATAAAAACTCCCAAATGCAAGACACAAATTAGCAATAAGCATCAAAAGGGCCTTCTTTGAACCATATCAGAAGTATTGATTTTTATGATAAACTTCCCAAGTGAAAGCTCTAATTTTGGGTGGCATTAGCCCAATCCATAAGGTGTTCACAGGAATGCCAAAAATGGAGGATGAAGTAGAATATAAACCCTTGAAAAAGAAAGCATAGGGGAAATGACTATTTAGAGTTGAAAGTCCAGATTCTACAACCATAATCAGAGTTGGCAAGGAAAACATCTTTAAGAAAGTCTAAAGCAGATAGAGCGTTAGATAATTCAAAAACTCAGAGACCTCTCCAAGACCCAAATCCCAATCCAAACCTTGAGGTGATGGGGAAGCACACTGTTAAATAGGTTTTCCTTTGTTGGCAGAGATGGAACATGGAAATGGGAATTTGTCCTTCAAGAGTGTCTTCCCCAGCATAGGAATTCCCAATATCTATTGTTTTTTGATAAACCAAGCATCATATCTAGCTGTTGCAAAAAAATGGGAAGTAAAGAAGAAATAGCTTTCCACGGGGGATCCCTCCAAGCCAGATAAGAGGGTTTGGACTCCTAGACCCAATGGAACCTTCACTTGTGCTTCTTTTTTCAAGTCCATCTCTCAACTTTCTACTCACCAACCCTTTCCGTCAAAAGAAATTTGGTGTAGGCCA